GTGGGAGTGTGGGTTGGGAGTGCGGGTGGGTGTGGGTTTGCGTATGTGGTTTTTCATTTTATTTTTTTTCGTCATCATTTTTTTAGGTTTATCTTCTCTCCATCTAGGTCTTCTCTTTCTTTCTTTACGTCTTCCTTTCATACAAATTCTGTATTGCCCGGTACCTTATATCACCGATCCACAAGATAAGCATAAACTGATTTATTATATTTTTCTTTCTTGAACATAAACTCTGACGGTATTTTTTAGTTTATAAGTACATGTAATTAATTTCACTATTTTATCATCTTTTTTTTTTGCTTTACCAACATAAAAATTTAATGTTTAAATATTTGATTTTATGTATTTGAAAATAACAATATGTTTTAATACTTTTAAATTTTAAATTGAACGTCAAATTTTGTAATTACTATTTATTAATTAATACTTATAAAAAATTTGAATGAGTAATTTTTTGGATGAAATTGGGACTTTGAAAATCTTTAATGTTTTCACTAAAAAAAAAATCAATTAGAGTTAGTAAGAAACAAAGTGTAAGGATATAAGTTAGAAATAAACATAAAAAGAAAAAAAGAAAAATACCTCGAGACTGAGAAAACGAACCTTGAACCTATAATAAAAATGAGATTCGACAAACAAATAAATATGACAAGTCTGCCACATGATCGAAGACCCAGGCGATGTTTACCAATTCCCAATATAATTTATATCATTCTAATATTATAATTATAATTTAGTACATATTTATTTTGTTAACTAATTATTACCTATATTAAATTCCTAATTATAATTATAAACAAAAAACTGCTGTATCCATCTTTAATTTACTTAGTATTACATTATAATACTAAAATTTTCTATTTAAACAAACTCATTGGTCCCGGTGCGGAGCAACGGGTAACTGCTAGTATAGCCTATATAGAGATGTGCCACTTAGTGTTATATAACATATATAACATATATATATAACTAAAAAAAATACATATAATATGAATAAAAATTTTTTTGATCAATCAATTACCAGGCTGTATATTCTGAAGTCACAAAAATTTTCATCCCTTATCTGTCACTGGTCACGTGAAGTGAGATTAATGATATATATAACATAAATAACATAAATAACATACATAACATGTTATGTTTGTTATATTTGTTGTTTTTAATGTTATAAATATTATATAGCAAAAATGGTATATTTTTAATATAGAATAATAAAAGTATATATTGTATTTATAAAAATTTTTATTCATATTGTATGTATTTTTTTAATTATATATGTGTTATATATGTTATATAACACTAAGTGGCACATCTCTAAGCCTATAATTAGTGGGACTATAAACAGGAATCGGAAGATTAGGCTGGGAGGGCTCGGTTGAGGCTTAATTGGATTGGTTGATCGACAAAATTGGCCGGATGGCTATAATTGTCATTAGGACAAAAATTGTCGCGGATATTGGATGATATATAAACGGTGGTTTCAAGGATAAAAAAAAGCAGTTGGGTTTTTGTTTATTAATTATAGAAATAGGATAGTTGGAATATTACAGAGCGCCGATTGAGGCAGTAATATTGTCTATTTGTTTGTTCGTTAATAAAAGACACCCGCTGATCTTTTCCGATTTCTTCATAAAACACTGTTTATTAATTTTATCATTATAATTCGTGAATCGACGTCCACCGATTGTCATCAATTTCATATACGATATTTTACATATATATTGTTTATCGATTATTGTCTATTTATTTATTATATATACACTATTTATATATTTCCTTACACTTTATTGTCGATTGTTAACCGATTGTTATAAAAATCGTTGTTTATCCTTCTGTTATTACTACTCCCCGGACCGTCAGAAATCAGTAGTAACAATATCAATCAAAATGTTACACCGTGCTTGACATTTTACCTGTTCATGCTTGGTCAATCCATGCTTGATTTTTCACCCGCTCAAAGCCCAATAGCTTAGTCCAACTCGGCTTGCCGACGGCGCGCCGCGCCAACCAATTTTTGGGGCAGTTTCACCAATTTGACATGAAATGCGCTATGAACGAATTTTTTTATATAAGTAGATAATTTCGACATATAATTCATTTATTAAAAAAGTTATTCAAAAAAAAAACCTTCCATTAGATGAGTCAGTCAACAAGTGAAACTAAAATAGCCATTTCTCCAAAATCGAAATATGCTGTGACATATGAAAATAATTTATTTAAAGGATGGAGCAATGCGGAGTTTAGTCATGCCGAATTAACAATTGAGCCGCAGAGTACGTTAATATTAGATTTCAAAGTTTCTGATAATAAGGTTTTAATATACAAGACTCTTTATGAAGGTATAGAGGATAAAGTGTATTTTTTTAATCGTATTTCGAAAAAAAAAAAGATTTTAAAATTTCATTTATTCTCCTCACAGTACGTATCTATGATATGGAAAACAACGAACATATAATTCTTTATGATAGATATGAAGAGAAAAATTACAAAATTACAAATTTTCTTACAAATGGAGATATAATAATTTACAAGAATGCCGTTGCTTCAATTTATTCTTCTAATAATAATTGGAAATGTACATCCAAATATAAATTCGATGAAATAAACATAGAGTTTGGCGGAGTAGCTAATGATAGGTTATGGGTGATAGTAAATAAAACTATACATATATTAGATTTAAATAAATTTCATTATCAGAAAATTCCTCTTGAAATTGATGTAAGTATAAATATGGTAGTTATATGTCATCTCTATACTATTTTTTGATTATATTTCTAAAATAAATTTTTTTTTTATTTAGGAAAAAGAAATAAACATTGATAAAATAACGTTAAAAATTTCTGAATGTTTAATTGTTATTAATATTGACGGAAAATCTTATATTTATTCTAATGGCACGAATGTTCCAATTGTTCCAATTAGAAATAAAGGTAATATAATATTTTCTTTTACTACAAATTTTAATTAGATACACAATAACTTATTTTAACTTATATTTAATTAGAACCTCAAGATTTTGATATTATTGATATTGCTGCGGATGATATTTTTAATAAGTATATTATTACAAAATCAATTGATACGAATAATAAAATTAAGAAGATCGACATTTATGACATCTGTTGTTGGAAATCAAGTTTAAGGAAATCTATCGATTTCGATAAATTATTAGAATCAAAAAATATTGAATCTAATCAATTTATTTATAAAGAAGTTAAGAATAATAAAATATTTGGTTTATACAGTAATAAACCGCGGAATATTGATATTGATATGTCTAACAATAGTCATTCTAATAATTCTGGAAAGGATCATGATTATATTTTACAAGAAACTAATGATGATAATATATTTCATCGTATTGGAAAACAACTTATTACACCAATAGAAGATAGGGATCCCTTTATAAAAGATTGTGTCATTCCTCATTTAAAAAGTTTGAATATTTTTCAAAATGTTGAAGAACATGATTATGATTTAGAATTGACTGGGTATGATGAAATAATTTTAATAATTAAAATAAATGAAAATAAAATATCATATAACACAAAGTTACGCTGGAAAAAAGAGAATGTTAAGAATTTTAAGAATACATGTGTCTTATATAGTAAAGATGAATTACATATATATGCTTTTACGAAATTGAAAAAGATTCAATTGCTATGTTGTTATAATATCAAATTTATTAAATGTACAATTAAACTTTACAATAATTCTGAACTTAATTCTTCAGATATTGATAAAATTACCAAACACACAGAAAATGATTACTTAAAAAAGCAATGGATTTCTTACTTATTGAATCACAAATATTTTTTAGTAAATTATGGTGAAAGATTATTAAATTCAGCAATTAAAGAAAATAATACAGAGTTAGTAGAAACAATCATTAACAAAACTCTAGAGTATTTGAAAAAAGATCCCAATCATAATATTTACATATTATCAATAATAAGTAATAATATACCATACTTAGATGCTGACTTTTTATTAAAGTATTACAATGAAATGGTTTTATTTATTGATTCATCAAATCAAAATGTTATTTATAATAATTTTGACCATCTTCATACTTTTTGTAAAAAGTCAATACAATTAAATTTTATTAGAGAAATACCAACTAGGCTTGTATCATTAATAATAGTATTTTGTGTATTTTGTGCAATTGGATTTTTGAATCTTTTAGCAGGAAACATGGACATTTCCATTGCCCTATTTATTTTAACACCTATTTTTACTGGAATTTTTTATGTCCTTTTCATGAGAAATACTTCTAAAGCAAAGCAAAAAGTTATATTTGTAGTTCCTTTTCCAAATTATTTAACATACCCAAAAGATTATAATAAGTTTAAAGAATTTTTTTTTATACCTAAATCTAATCCTTTTTCACAATCACTAGTAAATAATGATTTTTATAAAACCTGGAATGGTGAAGCTATTATTAATTTTAAATGGAGGGTATTTGGTAGATATTATTATGCTGCAATATGGTTTTTCTTTATAATTTTTTTTATATGTTTTACTCTAGCTTCATCGGTTTCTTCTAAAATAATTAGTGAAAATAAAAAAGAACTTCTTTTAATTTCATCAATTATTTTGGGATTATTACATCTTTCATTTGAAATTCGTCAATTTATTTGGAATCCAGTTAGATGGATTTTATATCTCTGGAATTGGATTGGTATATATTATTATATATTATATATATTGATATTTATTTAAAATAATTTATTTTAAATATATTTTTATTTTAAAATATAGATTTAGGTGCTTATTTATTACCTACAGTAACATCATTTTATTGGATTTATACTGGAAATAAGAATACCCGTTTACTTTCAATTTCATGTCTTTTACTCAATATCAAATTTTTACTTTTCTTTCGAGTATTTGAACGATTTGGAATTTATTTTGCTATTATAGTTGGTGTTGGACGTAAAATTTTTTCATTTCTTTTTATATTATTCCTATTTATTACTAGTTTTGCACATGCATTTTTCATTTTAGCAAATACTGGATTAGATGAAATTTTTAATCCTTGGACTTCTACACCAAAATATCATCGAATTTTAGAAAATGGAGAAATAGATCGAAATCCATTTTTAGTTCAAGAACCTGATGATTATACAAATTTATTTTCAAATTTTCCTAATTCTATGTTTTCTATGTATTTGTTTTTATTAGGTAAATAATAATTAATATTAATTATTTTTAATTATTTATTATTTTTTTTTTTTTTAATAAGTATTAATTTTAATAGGTGATAGAAATTCATTAACTTCATGGCCTCTTGATAATAATCCGGTTATGGCTGTATTAATGGGTTTATTTTCATTTGTAATTGTTATATATTTAATGAATTTATTTATTGGACTTTTAAATATGGCCATTCAAGAAGATAATAATCGAGCATCTTATTTAGCACAAAAAGCTGAAGTTAGTAAAATTAAAATATATGTAATGCTTTTAATAAGTATTTTATTATTTTCTATAACAATTTATTATTTTTACAGATTTTAAAGGAAATTGAATTATTTTATTTATTTTCAAATCAAAGACGTTGGAGTCATTGGTTTCCTGATATCATGTAAGAAATATTATATATGTATATAATATTGTTTTGATAAATAATTTAAATATCTTTTTTTTAGTTATTATTATGCAGATGTTGACGAAACACGTAAAGCTATAAAGAAATTAATAGATGAAAAAAATTGGAATACTGAAATGACTGAAATAAGAAAAAAACTTTTGGAACTTCTTTCTATAAAAAATCCTTGACTTTATAAAAATCTTAATATTAAATTTTCTGGATTTTATTTTTAGTTTATGATTATAAAATACAGTAATATTTTATAACTAGTAAATGTAATATTTTTGTAAATTATTAGTTTTTTTTACATTTTACTTAAATGATTATTTAAAAAAACTTAAATTTTATTATATATATATATTTTGTGCCTCAGATCGATTCTTGCCTCAGATTGAAATCGTCATGTGAGGTGCGTGATGTGGATCATTGGCAAATAAAAAATTTTTTTTAAAAAAAAATATCGATCGTTTTCTACTGTTTTCTACTATTTTATTAATCTGAAATAGTACTAGTTTAACCCATTAGTAACTACACTAAAAATTATTTAATTATTATAAAGTTTTCAGTAGGAACGCCTGGAATGGTTCTTCACGGCTAATTGACTCTTTGAGGTAAGTTTCGGAAGCTTTTTTTTTTTGTTTTTTCTTATTCGGAACGGTACTAACCATTCCTTCCTTTTTCTTTTTTTAATAGGAACAGTTAAAATGTTTTAAGGTAGAATTCAATTTTTATTTTTATTTTTTTCTTTTTGAACGGTACTAACCGTTTTTTTTTTTTCTTTTTTTTTTTTAGCATTTCGGCCTGGGCTCTCTCCCGGTAAATGGGTGTGCTATAATGTTTACTATAGTGTTAGTTTCTTTCTCCTAGAACGGCACTGACCGTTCTTTTGTCTTTTTTTTTTTAGCATTTCGGCCTGGGCTCTCTCCCGGTAAATAAGTGGTGCTATGGTGTTTATAATGTTGGTTTTTCTCCTAGATATTAACCATTCTCTTTTCTTTTTTTAATAGGAATAGATTAATGGTTTTTTGAGAATAGGTAAATAAAAAGATTTTAAGTAAGAAAACATAGAAATGTTAGAGAAATGAAAATTTATAATAAGAGGAACGATGTAAAATGTGATATTAAATAATATAAAAATTATGTATAATCTATTAACAAATAAAATCAATGATTTAAGCATACATGAAATTACTTTAAATTCAATTTCTTTATATAAGACATCAGTAATAATGCATTTTTTGACCAATTAATATATTTTACATATAACAAATGCCGCATCATTTATTTTGACATGAACGTCCACTATGGCATCTACTGCTACAGTCTCCACCTGCCTTCTTACAGAGACATTTATTACTATTGCATTCACCTTTACAATTACATATACCCCCTGATACTAAACCCGCACTCAGCCTCTCTAATTGATATTTTGTTTGAGGGAATGACTTCTAATTCAGGAAAAGTTTCTGTTCCGAGTGGTTCTAATTCACTAGCAGAATAATACACCCCAATTATTCCAAATTTTGATCCCAAACTATATTTATTATTTTCAGTTTTTTCCATAATTTTACATGGCAAAGTGGGTCGATCAACACTAAATCTATCAATTTTAGGAACAGCAACCCTTACCAGATCACCAATCTGATATTCTTTAATTCTTTTCCTTCACTTGCTTATTTGATTGGCCATCTTATTTGTATAATCTTGAAGGTCTTGATGGGCCATATTTCTTAATATTTCGTGCTGTGTATTATTTGTAATATCTAAAAGGACCGGATCAATAAGTACTATACGTGTATTATTTTCACTATCTTGATCTTGGACCACTGATCTTTCAATATCTAATTGTTGGACTGGAATATTTGATTCTAATTGTATTAGTCGGTATGATAAATAATAAAATTTGGCAATTAGATAAAAAAAACATTTTTATTAAATTTAATAAATATTATTGAAATAATAATTTTTTTAGTATTAAAAACCTTACCTTGCAAATCATCTATTATATCACTATCCAAATCTGACAATAATATTAAAAAAATTTATAATTACATTACTAGCTTTATTATTCAATTTGTGTTTTGTAACTAGATCTTTATAAACTTTATTTAGAAATTCTGTATAAGTTTCTTCAGATTCTTTAGAAGATTCCCTCTGGCAGATTCTCCAGATTCCTCAAATTCTTCAGCAGATTCTTTATATTCTTCAAATCCTTTAGTAGATTCTCCAGATTCCTCAGATTCTTCAGCAGATTTTTCAGATCCTTTAGCAGATTTTCCAGGTTCTTCAGATTCTTCAGCAAATTCTCCATACTTTTCAGGTTCCATGACAGACTGTTCAGGTTTTTTAGATTCTTCACATTCAAACATATCTTCATAGCTCATTACTGAAAATGTACTTTGAACACTATTAAATGATGCATCTTGATACCTCTCATATTCCATCTAAATCATTATCATTAGATCAAAGGGGGCAGGGCTGTGCGGCGTAAAATTTGGATAAATTATGGCTAATATTTTTTTGGGTTTCATTCCAGGATTCTATGCTTATCGCTGAGATTTGCGGGAAGGTGGAGGGAGATTGGGTGAAGTGAGATCTTGTTTGTTAACCACCATATAATTTAGCAAATCTGATTTTTTTACAAATATACACACTATTTAGTAACGAAACCATTCTGGCAAAGTTTAGTTTATTAAAATTATATTAAATTACAATAAATATCGCAAAATTTTATGAAAAGTGCCACAGAATCTCTAAATCTCTAATAATTCACAAAAAAATAGGCTCACAACACAATACAAAATTAGCTTTAATAAATCACACGCATATATTTACTTTTGTCACTATCTAACAATTGACCCCTTGAAAAACTATTCCTCTAAATTTGAAGTTTTTTCAATACTGCTAAAAATTTTGGCATATAATTTTCTGCGAATGATGATAAATAATACTAATCATTTTTAAAAAAACAATTTAAGATTTTAATTAATAAAATGAAAAATATACGTATATATATAAAAATAAGATATAGTATATACTTACTTCATGTTCAGAACTATGAGATTGAATAAAATTATGTGCCAATTCGTGACAAAATGTCATATACCAAGAAGTCATTGCGTTGCTTGTAAATTTAGTTTTACATTCTTCACCATGTAATCCAATGTAAAATTTTAAATTAAAAAATAATGATCTGTCACGATTAAATGCAACACTATTCGTATAATTATCATAAAATACATGAATGGCTCGTAATTCAAGGTCAAAAACACTCGCAATATTTCTTAACATAATTAGAAAACGAATTAACGGAGCACGATTTGATGATGATAAGATATCCGCTTGATTAGCACTTTTAGCATCATAAAGTTCAATACCCTGTTCATTTCCAACACAGAATAATAAATGACCTAAAAATAATAGATAAATCAAGTTAATAGAAATAAAAATATAAGTAATTATAAATAAATATTGAATATATTTTTCGTACCAGGTATAATATCACAGTAACTCGATTCACTTTCTGTAACAACCTTAGTACAAGCTTGACTATTAATAGTACTTCCAAGGTTAGAATGGCAAGTTTTTATTGCATCACGTAAAGAATTTCGTAAATTTAGAGTAATTTGAGGAGTTATAACAACTGGTGACTTTACGGCTGGTTTTTGACTATATTGCTTAACAACATTCTGTGATGAATTAGATCTTAATAAACGATCAACTGGAATTCCCTTAGCTTCTAAACTCGATAAAGAAGGTGTTGTTAAGATAATATTAAAATGAGAATATTCCTTCAATTTAGATGATTTAAAAATATGTTTGCATATATATGATGAAATATCAAGATAATCTGGATTTGGTGTTATAAAAAGTACCCATGAATTTAATTCTGCACTTTCAAGTACACAAGCGGTAGTAAAATCGTTTCTAATCTGAATATTATTATCTAACTTATGACATGTTTCTATTTGGTCAACTGTTCTTACTTTTAACCTTTCAAGCCATTTCTCATTTCTCAAGATATTCGTTCTAGAATTATCATAATAAAATAAATTTGCTCTTTCCTCAATTGTTTTTCTTATCTTTACAGAAACCTCGGTTTCTCTAATAGCACCTTTCGGAATTACAGTCTCTTTTACTGATTCATGTAACGATCTACATCCCAATCTCTAAAATATTAAATTTATCGTTAATATTATAATTTAAATAATTCTTATGTATCTACCAAATATTATTCATAAGATTAAAATAAATTATAGGTACATGTACCTTATAGAATCTTTCCAATGAAATATCTTCTGGAGCTATCAATGGTTTAAAGATTTGACGATATCCTGGATCGTCATTTATAAAAATTTCTTTTGCTGAAGCCAAATGTTTCTGATCAACTCTTTCACCATCACAGATTTTCTTTATACCTATTAAAATAGGCTCTCTTTTCATATCCCTAAATAAACCTGGTTCGTTATATTCTATAGTAGTAATTTCATTGGCAATCCTAGATAAAATGTTTGAATATCTATCATCATCAGAAGAATTAAGAGAATTCCACAATTCACGTGATGATTTCACCAATAACTCAGCAAATTCTATCGTAGATGGTTCACTCTTAACACCACAACTTCGAAGAAATACATTTGCTTTCTCTCCGAAATTAACATATGTAAAGAATTCTCTCAGACTAAAAAGAATAATAATAATAATTTTCTTTTAAAAAAAAGTCGTTCCATTTAACTAAACTGTGAACTTAACATAATACATACCCATATTCTGTGCATTTAAGGAAACAGCTACGTGGATTTTTAAGAGTGATTGCATTAAATTTAGTTCTATCTTTAACTGGGATAAAATTAAGATCACCAAGAATTTTCCAATCAGAAGATGTAAAATTTCCTTGTAAAAACAAATATTCAAAAATTTCTTTTGCCTTATTTATATCTCGCGGCGGATGATCGATCAAACTTTTTAAGAGTTTTTCATGACTAGGATTTTCTTGAACGCCAAATTGTTCTGAGTAAAACAATAAATCTTGATGTATAACATTAAAATTCATTTTCATACATTCAGGATTAATATAACATTCTGTAGGTTTCGCATAAACACCTGAGCTACATAGCAAAAATGCGACATTGATTTCAGTTGATTTGTAATCTTTGGAATATCTTTCTTTAAAATTAAGAGCAAAATATTTAAAAGCCTTCGCACGAATTTGTGGATCTTTTTGTGGTGTTAACAGTTTTAGAATTTTTTGAAGTTCAGGAAATTCCCTTAAACCCAGTTCAATTAAAAATGTTCCTACAAATTTAAAATACAATATTATTTTTAATTATAGATTATATAATAAAATCAAATAATGTAGTACCTACCTTCTTGCGTGTAACGATTCCAATCTCCTTTCCAATCAATAACAGGTAAACCAAATTCACGATGTAATGGTATAGGTGTATACAATTGATCGGCAACGTAACGATCTTTTGATGATTCCGAAAAATTTTCTTTAGGCCAGATAGGTTTTTTCTTTAATATTTTTATTTCATTTTCTTTGAGATCATTAAATTTTGAAGAAAGATATTTTACAAGTTGTATATGATCTCCATCTCCTTGTTTAAGAAGATGATCAAAAATGAGTTGTAATTCAACAATCTATAGATAAATTCAATAATTATTAGTAATTAAGTTTAATCGTTTAAAATATCCAAAAAACATATACTATATACTTTTCGAACGCCCAAAAGTTCCATTAAAGATTGAACACTTGAAGGTTCTTGAAAATCAATCGTTGGTAAATCAGGAAGTAAATTAACATCTTGGAAATAAGCATTAGCTGGAATCTTCATTCCAAATTTAGTTGGAATGCATTTCTTTTTTTCGAATAATTGACAAATTATTTTCTTATCATTTGGCGAAATATTGCTCAACCTTTTTGCCAATGTAATATGAACTTCTCTAGCAAAATTAGGATCACGCTCCAAATCAGGCTTTTCAACAATAAATCTTGCCCAATTAACCAAAGATAGTTCTTTCCATTTAAACCATGTTTCAAGATCTTTATTATTAGTGAAATTTTTGGATATATTATATGGCAATACATCAGTTGGAATATCCATATTTGATGGAACTATGTCTGGATTCAAAAAATAATGAATAGTATTTAAAGGTTGAGAATTATTGCCAATACGTGCAAGTTGCATAAACTGTTTAACGTCCAATGAATCAACATTATTCCCTTTTGACCTATAAGAAATCCACCATTTCAAAAGATCGACAATTTCCTCTTCGGAGAGAGATCGGCTTTTCAATTCAAACAGAACATCTTTAATGGATAATTCTTTTATAAGTTTCAATGAATCCTTTGCTTTCATGAAAAATTTCTTACATCGATCATACATAAGTTTTGGAACAAGTGGAACAGTTTTTATAAACCGTTCCATTTCCGGATTAGGAATACGAACGTCAGTTATTGGTAGAACACCATTTGTTGAATAAATTGATAAAATTTTTTTTGAACATTTGAAAAATTGTGATTCCAATATTCTGCTAACTTCCGCATTTGGTGTACTCTCTCTAAATGTAAAATGTGTCAAAGCATGTTCTGCTTGATTTTCAAGCCATTGAAGAAAAGTTTTAATAACCTGTTCTTCAGTATTAGTAATAGATACATTAATCATATCATTATAAAGTTGTGTTAAAGAAGACATCTCACGATCATATAAAACTCTGCATAATGTGCCAGCTAAACTTAACAATTCGCTGTTATAAATAGACAAAGTTTTATCCACCAAATCAATTGATTCCCTCTCCACCTAAATAAATAATATAGGTTAATTAAGACATTAATGATCAAAAAATATTAAAGTACATACAGTAGGAATTACGCGAGCTGCTAAATGAATACAACATCCAGTAGTCTGATGAGTTGGAAATCCAATATATATTCTTCCTTGATTTGGAAATGGATGTAAATCTTCAAATATTGAAGAAATAATATTTTCATGATTCACAGATGACATATGTTCATCATATCCAGTATAAATTACTTGAATTGTCGTTTTACTTGGTGGTTTCTTTTTAGTGCTTCGTTCCATTTCATTAGAAAACGCATTGCTAACTTTAACATCTAAATTTCCACTAACAATTTTAAGAGATACAAATACTTCTTCCATTTCAAAATTAGTGATCGGTAAAGAACGCCAGTCATTCATGTTTTCTGGAATAATTAATTTCTTAACGGTTAGTTGGACATCCTTGACGTCTATTGATGTGAGATGAAACATCTTTTGTGGAGAATATGTGTCAAACTCGGATGATATGCCCATCGATACCGAATTTTGTATTGTCTTTGATAGTTCTATTACCGGTATATTATTAAAATACACTGTTACTTCATTAAGATTCCCGGTAAATCCCTATTATTTTTTAAATATTAGTATGACACGCTTCGTGCTTTTAAAACTTTTCAAAAATATCAAAATAAAAGCTTACCAATGAATTGGCTAAAAATCGTGCAAGTTCATCGATTTCTGGAAACTGATTAAACACATCAAAGTGTTAAATAAATGATTAACTAATAATATGACGATTAAATATATACCTCTTCAGTCTTCTCTCTCATATCCAATAAAAATGTCGTCCAAACTTTATCATCATTATTAATTCGTGCTTGTTTTGTTAATAATTGATTTCCACGCCAATAAAATGTCATTCCTTGTTTACCAGAAGTAACACTATCAAAATGAAACTTTGAATTAACATTGATTTTAATAAAAAATCCATTATAATAATTAATTACTTACAATGGTTCTTCACAAATTGAAAACAATGAATAAAAACCCACACCAAAAGCTCCTATCTATTAAATCATTGTGAAAAAATGTTTTAAAAAAATCAATTAACAAAAAAAAAAAAATGATAATATATACATACTTTTTGTTCATCAGGGTTCCCTTCGGCAATTTTCCTTAATCGATCCCAATCTTCAGATCTAAAAATAAATCCATTATTCTTATATTTTATTCTAGCAATTTTGTCCTTTAACTTTATATCCTTTCCAGGATTTGCGGTTTCATAAAATATTTGAACTTTTGTTGATTTCGCATCATCTTTATTAAACAAAAATAAATAAATAAATTAGTTACATTATAAAATCAAAAAATTATTCTTTTTTTTTTACCAGAATTTTGCATCAATTCCCGAAATATTACAAATTTGGCAGAGTATCTAAAAATATTGAAAGGGTTAATTTTAAGAAACGCAAAATGTACCACAAAACCATAAAGCTTTTAAAAAAAAAAGCCTACCGAGCCAAAATCTTATCAATCAAGTGTCTTTGATTAACCTCGACCCGTTGTTCTCCACTTGCATTCTTAAGTACTTGATTTCTTAAATCATCCTCGTCAATTTTTGATGATGATGATGATGATAAGAATCGGGGAATTGAAATTATTTTGTTTGCCATTATAAAAGCTCTTAGGGTAGTAATGAATTTTTTAATGTTTTGTTCAATAATGATTTTAACCCTCCTTTATTTATTTTTTTTTTTTATAAATAAAAAATACCATTTTATTCCAGTTTAACCTTTTTTTCGGTATTATCTTAATTTCCTCCATATAGATATATACGGATTAAAAATTCCGCTTATGTGGTGAATTTTTAATGGTTAGAACAAAGTTTCTAATATCTGCGCCATTCAAGTACATTTGATTATAATATTTCCTAATAAAAAATTTGGAAATTACAAAAAGAACCTTTTTAAGGTTGCTAAAAAAGAAACAGATTCTAAATATGAGAGAGATCTACGGTTACCCGATCAGCGAAATTTAATCAATCATTTCATCTACCCAATTTTCTTTCAGTGATTACCAAATTAAATCGATGTGAAATGGCGTTAATTATATACCTTTTTGTAACTCCCCAATATTTTTTTTTTTTAGTAAGTTAAACAAAAACAATAATGTAATAAAAAAAAAAACAAAAGTTTGTGAAATAGAGAAATGATAATTATCGCTACGAATCCTATACCTGTCTCTTATACACATCTAGATGTGTATAAGAGACAGATCCTATACTTACCGATTATTCCATTGTTATCATCCGGGTTTTCCCGATTTTTGCATGTTAAGGTTAGGAAATCTATTATTAGCGAACGAGGTTCACACTTGACCAGTCGTAGCAACGTAGCGTCTTAAAATACTATCATACCAATAGTAAAAACTTTAAAATTAAAAGATAAATAAACCATTTTTTTGTCAAAAATTTAAGACTATAAGAATTTAAAATGTTATGTTATGAATGATAAAGTAAGAGATGATGTTAGACAAATCTTTACTTACTTTTGACGGTAAAGGAATGTCCATTTTTAAACTTTTTATTATCCACTCGAGTTTTTACCATGACATTATTTTGTAATAACTCAAAAATTATTAATATTTATTAACGTGTAATTAATATGAAATTGAAGGATAAACACTACTGATAAGATCGTAAAATATCCGCAACACAATTGTATATCTGGTACGTTTCTACTGTATTAGCGATAGCTGTGATACTTAGACATGAATCATATTGTACATAACATTCTATTTTCCCAGTACAGTATATTCGCATAATCTCAATCACGAGTCGTATTTTTAAGGATTACATATAATGATTATAACCAAAAACGTTTCTATACGAAATCTTTATTATGTTATTTATTAACAATATCGTGAAAAAAATTTTTGTCGTTTTGTAAGTGCAGCTTAATTCTAACAATATTTCGATAAGAAATATAAAAAAGTTCAAATTATTATTAACACGGATAATTCCCAAGCTCTTCAAGCGACTTAAAAACAATTTTAATATCAAAACATTGCGCAACAACTGATTATCATTTAAAAATTTTTACAATTACTCCGGCTCCTAATTTTTATTAATATTTATGGAACCCAACTTGATAACTAACAATCTGTCAAATTTCACTAAATTATAAATAAAGACCCGACCAATGGTTTGGTTAAACAAAGATGAAATAATTTAAATTTAGAAACCAATTATTACAATTTAGCTATTCAAACATTTCAAAGCTTTTATATAGATTATGTATTATAAAACTCATTTCTTCAACACATAAATGTATTATCATTAAATTTGATGGTACTGTAGGTACTGTACAAATATATACAGTAGTTATTTCTTGTTAAGATCAAAGAAAAAGTCTACAGTTGGAGAGTTTATAAAATCTGAAAAATCCCGAGAACCTTTCAGGAAAAGGAAATGTAAGCATATGGCATTTTTCATCTTTGCGTTCAATTTTGACGTTTCTGATTAATAGACTTGCCTGGCTTACGTGTCCTTTATATACCATCTACATAGAGTAATGAATTTATAAGTGTATGCATCCATATAGACAAATAAGATAATTTAAGAAAAACAAACCTCATATATCCTCGACTTTTAGAACAAATGAACTCTCCTTGCCTGTCATTTTGAGAACTCGCAACATAGATTCATAGTCTTTCTTAATAAACTTTTTGTCATTTTCGCAAAACCACTTTTTCATGTGAGTGGATAAATCAATTATCCTCAAGGAGCCGTATCGCAATATAGCCTTTTTGATTGCCGTAAGTCTTTTCTTATTTTTTACTGTGTGTGCGTTTTCAGATATTTTTTCAGTATAGATATCACCGACGTTCTTTCCCGAAGGCAAAGTCCAAACTTTTGAGCTTGAAAGGACAAAATAAAGAGAGTCTTCTGGAGGTAAAGCCTCTTTATCATCGTCGCTATAGTCATTAGCTTCATTCGAAGGAATCCCATCATCGGTTTCATCACCTTCAGCATAATTTATAGGTGGTAGCTTCGTAATCTTCACACCGTCAGGTAACGTATTACCCTATAAAGAAAATAACTCAATTTACTCTTTTGTGAAAAATGTCTTTTTTTCAACCAAAAATCAAGTTATATGCTGACTCTTTTGCCTGATTTAGATTTCTTTTTGGATGGAGGCTTCTCTTCATGAAAGCGAACTCGCTTTGTTTGTTTTTGTTCATCATGACCAGATTCAATGACAATATTCTGACCTTCACTTGATTTATTTCGATCGTAACGAGTTGGGATCTCACTTCTGGCAGACTTGCGCTTTCCAGTTTCTGCTTTAACATCTGCAACAACATATGATCTAGTATCATCTAATACTTCATAGGTAGATTCTTCGAGATGATCAAGATATTTTTCCTGGAAAGAGAATAAATATATTACTAATATTTTTCCTCATTGTATGAAACAGCAGAAATAAGGCTTGTCAGCACACCTACCTTTGAATTGTTGATCTTATTTCGCCTATTTAATTTCTCTACATCTTGCCAGAAATCATTAACCGCTTGGATATTTAGTATTTCCTATTCATGAAAAATAATATTGTTAATCGTCAAAACTCGCTTAATATTAATGGAATCTTAAATAAGGATTTTCATCTGATTTACTCTTCAAAAGTACTGCCATATCATCATAAATCTTCTTTTGCTCATCAGTTATATTTTCACAGAAATCTGTGATTGCTGAGCTATAATTTTCTTTATCTTCATTACTAACTATTTCAAAATTATTATCTTTTACAAATTTAAATAAAACTGATAATTGGAAATAATTGATTTGTCTTTGTGCGGAATGTTTAACTGCACCATTTCATTTTGTATCATATGATTTGCTATATTATTTATTTCTTCGATTGTTTCCTGATTTAAACCATTCATAACCGTTACTATTTTATTATGCATATCACTCTTTTGATCTGGATTGAATTCTCCACCAAACGAATAATCCTCTAATTGCACACCATAAATATTTGATACAGCATGCTGTGCTTCTTGCGACCTATCATATTTCTATTACCGTATTCTGAATTATACTCTTCAAGCGGATAATGCAATAATTCATCTTCATCATGTTTTACACGATTCAAATACTTATTTGCTTTCCTCTCCGGTTTTGCAATTCTTCCGCGATTAGTACTAACCCGATTATCAGCTTTTAGATTATTCAACTCGCTTTGGAGCGCCTCGAATTGACTTTTATAATGTTCTAATTCGTTCTGACGTTGATTTCCATTTCTCCTCCATCAATCATTTCTACTATTATTTGTCGAACTGGATGCCGCTGATTCTGTATCTGTGCCGAGTGCATTAAAGTCTAATCTTGCTTTTTTAGCACTTTTGTCATTGCTATTTTTTACAGGATCACTATAGACTCTGAACAAATAATTATTATTAATCATAATCAAACCATTCTTTAATTTTTCATTATTTACATTAAGTCTTTTGGCATAATTTAAAATAACGCTCAATATATTTTTTCCATGAACATTATTAACTTGAATAATATCTTTTCCTAAAGGTTTACTTTTTAAATGATTAAAATTTTCAATTATTTCATTAAATTCTTTTAATTTTAGATATTTAAGTAGTTGTTGTTGGTGAAGAAATTAATCGAACATCAATAAATAATACAATAAATATGAAAATTTCATGTTATCTGATGTTATTTCCCTGACAGCATTTTGGAAATTATAATCCTCTGTATCAGGATTCAAATCCTTTGCGGTCTTATTAATTATATCAATTATTTGATTACTTTTCATTATTGTGTTTATGCATTTGGAGTAAATTTCAACGTTTTTTTTGACAAAATCACATTCCTTTGATTTGACAGAATTGGATTCATTAGTGTCAGATGCATATTTTCTTTTATTTTTTTTATTGCTTTTTTTGGATACTATATTTTCGTAATACGTGTGCATTTCAAATCCAAGTATAAAATTTCGTATTAATTTTTGCCATCCAATTGTTTGATCATTTTTCCAATAATCTGTCAGATCTTCAATCAAACATTTTATTTGACCTTCAATTGTTGTTTGTTGTTCATTTCTTTTGTTAGTTTTAATGTAGTTTCATTTGATTCTAACCAAGTTAATCGTTGCTTGACTGTATCATCAGTTAGCATGACGGCATTAGCTAATAGTTCTGCAAGTACAGGTAGACCTTCGATATCGTACATAATAGTTTTTGCAATCGGATCATCTTCCTTATCTTGAGTTATTTTTTCATTTTTTTTCTTGTCATCAAACATTATTTTGTACTTTTTCATTTTACCTCCAAACTTAATTTTGATATCTAAAGAGCTTTTAGGAAGTATGTAACCATGATTTTGCAATGCATAATAAGAAGACGCTGATACCGAAGGTACAATACGATAATTATTCGAACCTATACTATATTTATTTAATGTAGTAACTACAGTATTAAAGAATTGACGTGCATCAATATCATTAAGAAGCTCATTAATTGTTGCTGTCGTTTCATCAGGAATATCATTAATTGTTGCAAAAAATTTTTCGGGAGGCGGTGTTAAAGTCATCTTTTTTAAATTTAGGTTCGACAATTTATGATTTATTTAGATATTTATAGATTTTGATGCATTGTCATATTAATGTATTATATGAATTGTCAAAGAACTTTCTTAAAATAAACCACAAATTATGTAATTATACAAATTTTATACACAAGAATAATGATTCTTAAGTGATAATTACTAAAGAATATGTGTTCCGATCATCAATTATATATCAATTGTATTATTGAAACAATAGAGAAATGACTTTTAAATTAAATAAAGCAATTTTTTATCGATGAGATATTTTCTTTATAATTTTTGTAATCACGTCGTTTTAAATTATTAAAAAATTTATTATATTTACAAATTGATGCATGGTTGTGTTTCATTTCATTTGCTTTTCGTTGATATGGTAATTTATTTTCTTCTGACATTTGTCTCCACATATTTCCAATTATTTTTGAAATTTCGCGTGATGAACAATTTGAATTACTCATCCTCAGTTTTAAATTTTTCATTTCTAAATAAAATAAACGCATTTATTAAATCTATTCCATACATATAAAAGCATCAGAAATTTATCGACCGATTTTACTGCTTTTTCGTGATTTTTTAATAAAGATTATTCAATCAAAATTGGAATGTACTCGTTTGGTATTAGATAAATCGAATTATTTTGCATTTTATATTGTTCTAGCAACCAAAGAATTAGTGAGTTATTTATAATTTTATTAAATATAGTTTTTTAGAAAATTCAATGAATTTAATGAAAATACTAATAAAATATTTTGATTGACCATAAATTTACGTTTTTTATTGTAATTAAATTTAATTTTTTTATTGATAATACATGTATTATATATTATTGTAATTATTTTAGCTATTGCTTTAGCGACTAAATAATTAGTGAATTAATTATAATTTTATTACATAATACACATTATAATTTTTTAAAATTCAATGAATTTAATGAATATACTAATAAAATATTTTGAATGATCATAATTAACCCAAACAACGATTCACGTCGCGCGCTTGACAACAATATTTTATGGATCTACCACTGATCTACCTTACTAGCTCGAACTTCCGACACAATATCCCATCATTGAATATAGACTTATCATCTGCTACTTTTACTCGTTCTCAATCTAGATTAGATTATAGTTTATTTTATTTTAATATATAACCTCTTCGATTCTTCAAATGTCCTTTTCTTCTTTTTTTCCTTCTTTTTCTGGTTCCTTTTAATTTGTTCCAAATAGTAGTAATCGAAATCTGGCGGAATGAATATCAATGATTTGGCTTTTAGATAGTTTATTTTTGTTTTCTTTGTATACAAATTATTATTAATGTAACTGATTTTGATAACCACTCTTTAGAAATAAAATAAATAAAATCATTCGTACTACTAATTTCTGCGATAATGATGCAGTTAGCCAAAAACGGAGTCGAATTCCTGATTGCCGATCAATCGCAGAAAATTCTCTTGACGATCTACGCCTGAGCCGGGTCCGCATTATATAACTGCGTACAGCTCATTGTAAAAAAAATTTTCACTATATATGTATTTCTGGGCTCTATTATTATTAAAACTAAAGAGGCAGGTCTTGAATCAATTATAATTAATTGTTTCTTTTTAAAGAAAACAAGCAAACTGTTACACATACAGTTGAAACATGAGTCATCTTACATAGTACACCTGAATTGTGTGTCAGATCGGTGCAGCAATTTTCGAAAATTGTAAAATTAAGTTTATTAGTTAACAATAAAAAGCATCAAAATTCTTCAGTAAGTGTATTTTTAGCTGTTCTGCAAGTTTACTTAAAGGATGGAAGGAGGTTCTGAATACCGTTTTTGACTTTATATATGAAAAACTAAAAAAGTCGTCTTTGTCGATCATTTCTAAAAATGGTTAGGATGATTTTAACAAAAAAAGCAACTCCGAAAACCGCCCTTGATTCTTTGCATAACAGGCAAAAAAATACGTAATTTTCCTATAATCTAAAGCTTATATATATTGAGAAATTTCCTTTTTGTAAAATTTTTTGCGCCACAGTTGGTCAGCCGCACTACCAAATCTGGCACACAATTCAGACGCTAATATATATATATTGGCTAATTTTAGCATCAACCGGCTTAACAAATTTTTAATCCTAAATAAAGATACAACTTTCTTAACAATGATTCAAAAATTTTTGAAAGAATTATCAGATGATTATGAAAATCTTTTTGAAACTGAAATAGGATATGATGTTATTATTTACGCGGGAGATGAATCAAATGTTAAAGAAATTCATGCTCACTCAAATATTTTATGCACTAGGTCAAAATATTTTCGTACAGCATTTTCTAATGGATGGGCTATAAAAAAAGATGGAAAATTTGTTTTCAGAAAATCAAATATTCAACCTCATTTATTTGACATCATTCTTAGGTAATAATCATTATTTATTAATGAAATTTTGACATTTCATATCTTTATATAAAATTATTAAATATTTTTATTTATTCCATAATAATCTTTAGGTTTATTTACAGTGGAAATATCGAATTAAAAAATTTACACGGTCCAGATATATTGAATTTGTTGATAGCTGTGGATGAACTTAATATCCAACAATTAATTTCTCATATTCAAGCATATTTGATTAAATATCGAACTGAACTTTTGCATCAAAATCCATTTTGTATTCTTGAAATTGTCTATCAACATGAGACATTTACAAATTTACGTGATTTTTGTCTTGAAAAGATCTGTGAAGATCCTAAAATTTTATTTAATTCCGATAAATTTGTTAATTTACAAGCACCCTTGTTGGAATTATTTCTAAAAAGAAATGATTTATTCATGGATGAAATTGAAGTTTGGGAAAGTTTATTGAAATGGTGTTTAGCTCAGCTAATTATGGAAAATGACCCAACAAAATGGAACAAAGATGATATGACAAGAATTGAGAGGTTATTACACAAGTTTATTCCACTAATTAGATTTTATGATATTGGACCTACAGATTTCTTTTATAAAGTTTACAATTATAAAGATATCTTACCACAAGACTTAATTAATGATCTTTTAGAATTTCATGTTGTTCCTAACATGAAACCTAAAATTAATGTACCCCCACCAAGAAAACGAATTTTAAATCTTAATCTTGATTCAAACATAATTCAATTAAATCATATTCCTCTTTTTGCTTCATGGATTGATAGAAAAGAATCTTCATATTACAATAACAAAAATATTCCTTATGATTTCAAATTGTTATATAATTCAGATCGGGATGGATTTAACGCTGAATCATTTCATAAAAATTGTGATAATAAAGGAGCTACTATTTGGGTAGCAAAAATTCGAGGTTCAACACAATTAATTGGAGGATATAATCCACTAGATTGGAATGGATATGGTTTTAAATATACAACAAATAGTTTTCTATTTAACATTAAAGATGGAAATGATATTTCTACTGCAAAATTAGGTTACGTTAAAAAACCAGATGAGGCTATTTATTGTTATTATAACCAAGGTCCACATATGGGTTATTTTTACTGCAAACACAATAATGAATGGACAAATAATGATAGAAATGCTACTTGCTATCCTAATATAGGTATTCCATCTTTAAATTTTAGAGTAGAGAATTATGAAGTATTTCAAATAATTAAAAAATAGAAAAATATACTGTAAATGTATAATTTTATTAACCTTCTTCTTAAATTTACCTAAAAACATCAGGCATTTAGATTCAAATTCAGTATAAAAATAGATTTATTATAAATTAGAATTATATATTGATTTATATTATTTTTTATTTCTATTATTATTTATTATTTATAAATTTTAAAAGAAAAAATTTTAACTTCAAGATTGACCAAAATAAAAATAATTACTATTATTAATAAATGTTTAAAACCAATCAATCAACCCAATTATAGTAGATTAAGAAACACCAAAATAAAAAAAAAATTACACATCACTGTGAAAAATAATTACTATTATTAAATGTTTAAAACCAATCAAACTTTGGTTTCAAAAAAACCAATTATAATAATAAATTGTTTCTTTTTTAAAGAAATTAAAGAAACAAGAAAACTGCAGTTGACACGTAGACCTATCATAAAATTAATATATAAGGTTAATTTTTAGCCATATAGACAGGTTGGCAAATTTTTTTCTCTCTAAAATATAAACATACAGCTTTCTTAACGATGTCAAAATTTTTTGAAAAATTATCAAATGATTATGAAAAAATTTTTAATACTGAAATAGGATATGATGTTATTATTTATGCAGGAAGTGAACCAAATGTTAAAGAAATCCATGCTTACTCAATCATTTTAAGCGCCAGATCAGAATATTTTCGTGTAGCATTTTCTAATAAATGGGCTGAAAAAAAAGATGGAAAATTTATTTTCAGGAAACCAAATATTTCTCCTCGCTTATTTAATATCATTCTTAGGTAATAAATATTATTTATTATGATAAAGTTTTGACATCTTATATTTTTTAATAAATATTTTTGATTATTCCCATTATGTTTAGGTTTATTTATAGTGGAAATATTGAATTGAAAAATTTACAAGGACCTGATGTATTGGAATTGTTGGTAGCTGTGGATGAACTTAATATCCAACAATTAATTTCTCATGCTCAAGAATATTTGATTAAACATCAAACTGAATTTTTGATGCAAAATCTAACTGGTCTTCTTGAAACTGTCTATCATCAGCATGAAAAATTTACAGATTTATGGAATTTTTTTCTTGAAAATATTTGTGAAGAACCTAGAATTTTATTTAATTCTAATAAATTTGTTAATTTAAAAGCATCTTTATTGGAATTATTGCTAAAAAGAGATTATTTAAACATGGATGAAATTGAGATTTGGGAAAGTCTATTGAAATGGTGTTTTGCTCAGAATATAGAATATGACCCAACAAAATTTGGTAAAGATGACATTACAAATATTGAGAGATCATTATATAGATTTATTCCATTAATTAGATTTTATGATATTGAACCTACAGATTTCTTTTATAAAGTTTATAATTATAAAGATATCTTACCACAAGACTTGATTCATGATCTTTTAGAATTTCATATTGTTCCTGACATAAAACCTAAAACTAATGTAGCAACTCCAAGAAAGTCAAAACTTGGTTCAACTTTAATTCAATCAAATCATGCTGCTTTATTTGCTTCATGGATTGATAGAAAAGATTCCTCCTATAACAAAAATGAAATCCCTTATGGATTTAAATTATTATATCATTCAGGTCAGGATGGATTTAATGCTGAATCATTTCATAGAAATTGTGATAATAAAGGAGCTACTATTTGGGTAGCAAAAATTCAAGATTCAAAACAATTAATTGGAGGATATAATCCACTAGATTGGAATGGACATGGTTCTAAATATACAGCAGATAGTTTTCTATTTAACTTTACAGATGGAAATAATATTTCTACTGCAAAATTAGGTTACGTTAAAAAACCAAATGACGCTATTTATTGTTATAATAACCAAGGTCCACATATGGGTATTTTCATATGTTATGGTAACAACGAATGGAAAAATCATGATCATAATGCTACTTACTATCCTGATATAGGCATTCCAAATACTTTAAATACTCCTTATCTTGAAGTAGAGGATTATGAAGTATTTCAAGTAATTAAAAAATAGAAAAAGCACTAAATTAAATTGAATTTAAATTTTTAAAAATATCTGATATTCTTAAAGATTCGGAATTAGCAAATTATAAATATGTAAGATGAATTTAAAATTATATATTCATATTCATATATTATTGTAATTTTTTATTTTCAGTTATTTGTTATTGATATTAAATTAATATGAATTTTTAAAAAGGATAACATATTATGTACGAATAAAAATCATTAGTACAATTAACCTCACAAACGGACCACGTGATATTTACGGCAATTCCTTCTGTGGATAGTTTATAGCTCGTTTGCTTATTATTTTATATATATATATTGTAGGTTGATTCGGGATAGCGGTGGAAACGGGATTGACCAATCACATGTCATCACGTGATTACCGATCCTACTTATGCATGTCGCCGATCTTACTGTAGGTGATTTATTTATATTGTGGTGATCACGAAACCAAATCCACATACAACATACAGTATATACGAAAAAAGCAATAATGCATTCCGTAATTTTTTAACCATTTTATTATAACAGTCATCAAATCCATTAAAAGTGCATTAACATTTACGCTTAAATCCGCTTTCACCTTATTATATTAGCCGTAAAACGTAACGATTATGAATTATAATTCGGAACAAACCGAAAGAGGTAGATGTTTGACTACTTTTTTACATATGTCTGTTAATGAGTCCCACTACTTCAACACATTAAAATACTCGAAGAATATAGTAATTTAATTCATGAGTGTCATATTTTTGTAGAATTTATTGGTTTAGAAAACTAAAATATAATTTCTTAAAAATATTAAGTAAATGGATTTATTATGTGTATTATTATAATTTTGGTCAGTATCGAGTCATAGCATTTATCGCGTCAATAAAATTTTTAGTGATTCAGAAATTTACCAGTCAGATTAATTATTTTGACCTTCAAATTCATGTTTTTTAAAGGTAAAAAAAAGCCAAAAATAATTTCATTATTTAATATTTATTGTTAGTTTTTTTCAATTCGTAATAACTTTTCTCTTTTTCATACCAAATATCAAAATATCAACTCAGTAGTTAATATCCAAAATTTACGATAGATAGCTGATTTACAATGTAGACATCTACTTTATAGTAATATTGAACTGAAAGAATTATACGACGCGTCCAGTTGACTTACAATGTGTAAGAGGACACATACGTTACATTTTTGCTGGCCATGATCTCACATTTATCTCCTTGACTTTCTCTACCAGACAATGTTAGATTTACCAGCCAACGAATAATTTCTGGCGAATACGATATTTCTTTGAGTTTTTTCATAAAATTAGAGTCTCGTTTAGAGATCGATGTAGTAATCATATTTTTTAAGGTCATCTATTAAAAACTTCTCTTCCCGGAGTGGATAATATGATGTAAACAGGGTAAAGCTAAATAAGCAAACGAGCATGATACTATATGGTATCATTATGTGCAAGTCGGGAAAACCTGCATTGTTACTTACAATATTTACCAATATAAAGTGCAGCTGTATAAATTTTCGACTGAGGCATTGAGCTTAACGTAATCTTATTTCTGATACTGTATATATCATATAAATATACTGTAATTCTTAGAATTGACTACCACCTTTTTGCCTGCTATGCGAAGGATCATAGTGAGACCCTTGGTAAAATGATGAGATCAGTAATAGGTAAAGAGTTAAGAGGTTAGAGAATGGGAGAGATGTTTAAAAAAAAATAAGAAATATGATCAAGATTTTTTCACGGATAAAGCTCATGAACGTGATATATGACAACAAAATAATTGTTTATACAACATATCGTTAGATATTAAAATTAGTATAAAAATTAATAGCTTGAAAGCTTGTACTGTATATTAAATGAATGTTTTTTTTTTAAGACTCGATCAATTCATTCTTAATATTACGTAATTTTCTTTACGCAAACTATCGAGTATGATTTTTTTTGACTCGATCAATTCATTCTTAATATTACGTAATTTTCTTTACGAGCTAGAGTATAATAAGAGCGATTAAATTTTGTTTAAAGCAGGAATTTATACATATAATTTAGAGTCATAAGAAACCATATACGTTAAATGATTCGTCTAATTAGAGTAAATATGACTCGAGTTCCACAAGATTAGTCGCACTGGCACGGTCGGGCAATCGTTGTGGGGCAAAGGGTATGTCGGAAAAAGGTTGTCGGGAAGTTGATCCGACATCGAATTAATTATTTACCCAAGGATCAGCAAATTTAATCCCAGTTTAATATTATTCTAAATTTGACTAATTGCAATTAGTAATATTAAACAGTTAAACATTTAATTATCTATTTTGTATTGATCCGACCCTTCCACAAGGAAATGATGTGATTTCTAGCCCTCTCCTTATTAACTGCGACTTTAGAAACTATCATATAATATACTTCCAACAATTTTTTTTTGTACTGTATGTATTAAAATAATTCGCAATGTTATACAGTAGTTGCGTTATTAATGATTTATTTATAAAAGCATTTATATAATTTAATTTATTAGTTTACATTTGTCCATTTGTCAAACAATTGGTAATTCCAATATATATGTTATTTATTTGTTTAAAAGTTATTGAAACGCTGAACGAATTTTTAAAGTTCTTATCAATAATTTTTATATAAATCACATGTCGGTCATTTTACATTAACGTTAAATGAAGTTCGATTAAGTGACTAACACAAATATAGATGGACTGAGGGTTTTACAAATTGGTCTTTTTTTAAAAAGAAAAAAATTATTTTGTATAAATACTAAAACGTGATAGTTATCCGGTATCACGTGATTTTTTATAATTAAAATGGTTGTTATAAATCGTGTATCAGGCAAAAATCGAAATATTACAAATCCACGTAATACCGGATAAATCACTTATTCGGCCGAATAAGTGATTTATCCGGTGTAACCATTAACCTTTTTTTTAAATATCATCATCAATTATAACTATTAAAATATCACGAATTTTTGACCTATTCTAGAAATATTGAAATCATTGTTTAATTATTACCTTTCAGAAAATTGTAAATGCCTTTATTGTATATAAATGTCATCCAAATTTTTGGATTTATATGTCGTGTACAAAATATTCAGCGTATGGAAGTGTTACCGCAAAAAAGATTATTTGTCCAACCTATTTTAGGAAACATCAATTCATTTCCTGTAGAAAAAGCGATAAATTCATTTGGATTTTTAGCCTCAAACCTCATTATTCCAAAATTATTAATGTACTATCCACTTTTTCAATAGCTAAAATTATGACAAAAATATTGTCAATTTTTAACTTTAAATTAATCATTAGATCTTATATAGATTACCATATACAGTATAAAAGCGGATCTCGTGATCTATGAACTATTTATGATTCAAAATATTGGTCTAGCAGTGGTCTAGCCATGTGATTTGATCATCATGTTTGGCAACAAATTTATGAAAATCCGCAAATCTGTCCAATGTCATACACTGCCTATTCCGGTTTTGTAACCTGTATTCTTTTAAAGTTTTCCTGTCTTGTTGCCATTTTTTGTATTTTTGCTTTGTAAACCCCTATCCGATTATACCCATTTTTCTTTATAAATAACGAATCATTTTCTTTTTTTTGTCAAACTGTCAGTTTTTTTGAAATGCGTTAAACTCCTTCCCATTTCAATAAATTAAAAATATTTTTTTCTTCTTATTGTACTAGTAGTATCATTAGAAAAAAAAATAGACAAAATGTTATCAATATACGACTTACTCGTATTCTTCTTTAGTGTGATCTTGGACCAATTTTTTAGAGAAATTAAATCACGAGGATCTCATAAAATTCCTACGGAGGGTCCTGTGATTTTTGTTGCTGCACCTCATGCGAATCAGGTAAATAATACTTTATTGCTTTATTGTTTAATTGTTAATCAATTTTTCGTATCATACTTATACCATTGTTTCTTTAATTTTAGTTTGTTGATCCACTAGTTTTGATGAGGAATGCTAATCGTAGAATTTCATTTTTAATCGCCGAGAAATCCATGAAGCGTAAATATGTAGGATCAATGGCTCGTGCGTCTAATGCGAGTAAGTTGTTAAAATCTTTGTTAATAATTAATTATTTTAATTATTTAAACCAATTTAAATTTAATTTTTAATTTTTAAAATAATTATGTAGTTCCCGTAGCGAGACCACAAGATTTAGCTAAGCAGGGAATAGGAAAAATTTGTTTAAATGATAGAATAAACGAACCTTTACGTATTACAGGGATCGGAACCGAATTCACAAAGCAATTAGAAGTTGGTTCTCAAATTGCACTTCCTAATGATCGTGGTTCATCTGAAGTTGTTAGTATAATTTCAGATACCGAATTAGTAATCAAAAAAGAATTTAAAGATTTGAAAGCTCTAGAAATGTTGACTAAACCTGAAGGAACTCCATTTAAATGTTTGCCTCATGTTGATCAAAGTCAGGTTTATGATGCCGTCTTCAAGACATTAAATGCAGGAAATTGTATTGGAATATTTCCTGAAGGTGGGAGTCATGATAGAACAGAAATTTTACCATTGAAAGGTACGAGAGAATATTTTTTATCATTGTGATTTAATATTATTATTTCTTGAATATAATGTATTATTTATTTTATATAGCTGGTGTCACAATTATGGCTCTTGGTGCAATGGCTGCAAACCCAAATTTAGATGTTAAAATAGTACCATGCGGTAAGATTAATATTGATTTGAATATTCAATTCTGTTAAATATTTATAATAGTTAAACATTGATCCTTTTATTAATTAGGTCTAAATTATTTTCATGCTCATTCTTTCCGTTCACGAGCTGTTGTTGAATTCGGTTCGCCTATTTCAATACCAAATGATCTTGTTGAAAAGTATCGTAAAGGTGGAACTGAAAAGAGAGAAGCATGTGGAAAATTATTAGATTGTATTTACACGGCATTAAGATCTGTTACAGTGAATACACCAGATTACGAAACTTTGATGGTATTATATATATATATATAGCATATATTTACGATTAAAAAACCGTACTAATATGTACTGATATCATTTTATTTAGGCTATACAAGCTGCACGACGTTTATATCGACCTGAACATCATAAGCTTGAATTATCAGATGTTATTGAATTGAATCGTCGTTTTGTTGAGGGTTATATGAAATTTAAGGATGATTCACGTGTACAAGAAATGAATAACAAAATAATGATCTATAATCAATTATTAATATATCATGGATTAAGGGATCATCAAGTTAACAGAACGGGACTTGGAAAAGGAAGGGCTTTCGCTTTATTTGTATACAGACTTCTTCTTTTAACAGTATGGGTTGTAATTGGCTCACCTGGGTAATTATTATATTATTGTTTTTATTTGTATAAAATATGAAATTTAATTATTTATTCAACTTTCTTATATTTAATTTACAATTTATAGCTTTATAATGAATATTCCATTAATTATGATAACTCGCGTCATATCAGCAAAGAAGCAAAAAGGTTAGATTTAAAAAAAATCATTAATTTTTTGAATTTATTCGGTCAGAACTTTCTTAAATTTTTTAAAAAAAATTATTATTTATTACAGAGGCTTTAAAGGCATCTACTGTTAAAATAGCTGGTCGTGACGTATTAGCAACTTGGAAACTTCTTGTTGCTTTAGTTGTCACCCCTATATTATATGGGTTCTATACATTTATAACATTATGGTTAATCTACAAATATGATTTGGAAAGATTACAATTTGGTTGGTGGACTCCTATAATTGTATACCTAATGTTCTATTTAGTTAGCAACTTTACAATGCATTTAGCTGATTCTGGATTCGATGTATACAGGTTAGCTACTTTATTCTTACATATCTATTGTACAAAAAAAAGAAGCCTTTTTAATAAAAAAATCAAATTTTTTTTAGGTCACTTCGCCCACTTTTCTTATCACTCTTGCCATGGTCACAATCATCTATTCAAAATCTTCGTGCAGCACGTGAACAACTTTCTCATGACCTTACAAATCTTATCAATGAACTCGGACCTAGAATGTACCCAAATTTTGGTAATTCGCGTATTGTAAAAGAATTTAGGGATCGATCACCTTCTCCATCAAGACCATCATCATCACTACGATTATTCCCACTAAGTGATTGGCTTGATGATAAAGTTTTTGATTGGTCAAGAGCAGATGATTCTGATTATGATGATGTATTCTTTTTCCTTGATCAACAGAATAAAAATGTAGTAGGAAAGAGCAGAGGTTCATCAGGACGTAATAGTTCTGTAACTCGTAGCAGAGCAAATTCTACTGGATCATGTGATGGGTATAATAGTAGTAATTTAGCATTCACAGAGGTGAATAAAAGACCTGCCTCGGTATCATCAGTACCTAAAGTACCTAAAGTTCAAGTAAATGATTTTGATGAAGATCCAGGATATCATGGAGATAAAGAGATTGAATCTAAAAAAAGTGTATAAAGTTAAATGAAGAAAGGGGGACGTATTAGTAGATTAGTAATAGTATTTACACAGTCTAAAATTGAAATTAAAGTGTTTTAATCAATAATCTTAAAAATTAGGAGATGCATATTAAAGAGAAAAATAAAACTTTCGCAATTTATCTCACAATACTTAGATATTATTATGTATTAGCGTTTTTTTCTATAGATACTTATAATTGTGCAAAGCAACGAGATTTTTAATTTGAAATATAATAAATACATTCGTTTAAAAGTAAGAAAATGCGTGTAAATTTTAGTTGAAACATTAGAGACAATGACATGCTTAAAATAACATCTTCAATAGATAGATTGATAATAGTAATTCTCGCGTAAAAATTTAAAAATTTATTATATCTGTTACGACATGATTAATATAAAAAGTGAATTTAATAATGTAATCACGAGAAAATAACTATGAATAATAAAAGGAGAATCAGTAAAAGAAAAAAAGAAAATCTTTAAATCTGCAAAAGGAATAAAGAGTTCACCCAAATATTTAAAATACAAAGTAATAAGAAAACCCCACTAAAAAAAAATCATGATATAAAAGTAAAGAAATTTCTTTTTAATTCAAATATTCAACCTTCATAACGTTCACAAAATGATGATAATCCAAACATCGTCTCCAGTCGTTCGTTCCGTTGAGAGTATTTTGATCATAGATGATCTTACTTTTTATCATCACTTTTTGGTTGATTCTTTGGGTTTTCAGGTGCATCTTTCCAACGTTTAGCAACCATCACAAAAGCATCTTTATGAAGTATAGTTGGATGTTCTTCTTTTACTTTAACGAGTTCAGATTTCATAAATTTATTATATGGTCCCATTTTCTTTCTGCTACTTTTTTTTACTTTAGGCATTTTTGTAATGATTTTTTTGTGTATAAAAGTTATGTGTAAGTTGAAACTTTTTTTTTTTTTTTTTTTTNAAACTTTTTTTTTTTTTTTTTCTTGAATATTAAAGTCGCGTTATTAGAAGAGAGAGAGTTTTTTTGTACTGAAGTAAAAAAATTCTTTTTGGTTATTTATATATGATTGATATTAAATCATAATGATACCGTGATACCGTGTATTTTTATATATACGCGTTCAAGAAAATTTTTTTTTTAATAGATGATAATTATGGGACAGCGGCGGAGTTATACAAAGCATATGATTAATGACTATATGAGGTGTTTATTACCTCTATGAAAAATACTAGAAATATTTGTATTAATCAGCAAAAGTTCTTTTATAATACTATTAAGGGAGTATATTATTTGTAGTATATCACAAGACTTACTAATATTGCCTAATATAGTCTAAGACCATACCGGTTATTCCCACGTCCACTAAAATATTGTAATACCTAATTTTTTTTTTTTAATTAATAATGTTTAGTTCTCGATTCCTAGATATGAGAAATAAATTAATTTTTTTAACAACTTCTTTGTCGTAAAAAAAAAAAAAAGGATAGCCAGCTTTTTTGATCATGTAAACTATTACTTATTTCCTCATTCATCGATTCACATTCTCAAGCGATTTTAAAATAACAATTTCACGTAATAATTATTTCATCAAATAATAAAATTATTGAATTTAAATATGATCGAGAAAATATATTTATTATTTCTTATTGAATACTTGATAGTTGATTCAATTCTTAACTTCTAATTTCGTATCTTTACATAATTTATTTTATTTATTTTCTTTTTTTTTAAAAAAAATAGTAACGCGCTTTATTAATTATCTGTGATCAAAGATCATAATTAAATACAAAAGCACTTAGACTCCTAGAGTGAAGAAAGAAAATCTTTCTACCCCCTATAATTAAGTTTATTCTATCTAAATAATCAAATTTAAGATCTAACTATATTGTGTAAAATCTAAAATTATTGTTTTACTACGCTACTATTCTAGATTTTAATGTTTTTTGATTTTTAATATTTTCTATGTTTACTAATTTTAAAACTAATCTAAAAACAAAAACAAAATTGTGAAAAATAAAAATAATAAAATTTTAAAACATTAAGAAAAAATCCTAAAAACTACACTTTTGATGGAAATACCCAAAATGTCGTCCAAAAACTTCATCTTTTGTCCGGTAATCTTCGGTCAGATCCAAGTGTTGGCCCAAGAGTTTCTTCTCAAATTTGTAAAAACTTAAAGGACGAATTTGTTTATTCGCTATCGGAATCTTCCCTTCGTCCCTGCGTCTTTACATAATTTATTTGAAAATAATCCAATTTAACATTATTTATAATGGATTAGTTGAGTGTGCTTGTCAAGTTGAAGATCCCAAAATATATTTAATGAAAAAATTACGTAGTTATTTTTATCAAAATACTCATTTCCCGTTACAAAAATTAACAAGAGTGATAAGGATGCTTAATTATTCTTAAATGTTAGCGGTACATAATGCAAAATTCAAGAATCTTTGCTCTCTTCATTATATCGTATTTCAGAATTTTTATTATGGATTGCGTGGATACATCAGGTGATAATTCACATGATATTCAATTTTACACACCAACAAATCAAGTAAATTTTCTATATAATTTCTATCTTTCTAAATCCACTAAATCCATCATTTGAGCTTTAACCATCCAACTACTCGCGCATCAAGTTTTGGTAATCATTTCTTGAAGCACCCTCTTTATCTCTTCTTTATCTCTTATTTTATACGCATAACCTGAAATGATCATGGCGGAATATAACTGATAAAAATGGTTCATAAATTAATAAATTTTTTGTTTCCCCTCTCAAACAAAATGAATAATAATAAAATAATAGTACATACCGATAAAATGATCGAAATGAAAGCATATAAAATAATATTTTGTATGATATCAAAATATTTTTGATTACATACATAACCTAAATCTTGACATTTATCCGAGATCGTACGTGTATAATAATATTCATGATTACATAAATGATTTAAATTTTGACATTCTTCCAAGACTTTTGATCCATGAAATACAATTTCGACAATTGTTAAAATATTTGTACCTACAACATTACTTTTTGCAATAACACACGCTAATTTAGAATATAAAAATAACATCATGGATTTATTCTATAATTTTAAGATTTAATTTTAAATATTATTAATATTATTAATATTATTATGATCATTAAAAAAAAAACAAAAATAATGCTTTTTTTATTTATTACATTATACATTACCGCACAATTTATAATCAATAATCCAAATATTGCTCCGATTATCATTAATCCATAGATAATAAAAATTGGAATGAGATAAACATGATTTATCGCTGATTTTTAAAATAAAACGGTTAAAAGATAATTTTATATATAGCGTATATAATATATATATATTTATACTTTTTTTTAAAAAAAAAAAACTGGAGAGAGCTTACCAATTTCTATATTTGATAAATTGAGTTTTAATGAATACTCTATAGCTTTTTTGATTATGAAAATTCCTTGAACCTTTTTTTTAAATTTTTTTTTAAAGATTTAAAGATAATCGATAAAAAAAAAAAATTTTTTTTTTTACTTACAAGCCATAATAATGTTACAATCATAACATTAGCTTTTGATGGCGTACAAAAATAACGTTTAACCATTCCTACGAACATTTTATTTTCCCTTTTTATTTTTTTTGTTTCAAAGATTTCGTTTTATAATATTAAAGCTGAACGAACATTAAAAAGAAATAATTTAAATTCAACATTATATATAAAAATTCAAAAAAGGTTTTATCTATAATTGGCCATCAAACTTTTAAAACATTTCCATACAAAGGAAGTGCGCAGATGAAATCGAGTTAAATTAAGGGGTCCAATCAAAAAAATTTTTTAGTTTCACGCTGCACGTGACTACGAATTTCGACTTACTAAATTACTAACTAATAAATGAGCGGGAAACCAGATCATAGTTCACACAAACATCTATTCAGCCAATTCTCACGCTAAAAACCCTGGCTTTCAATGCTTATAGATATTCGCACACCTTGCCAAACACGATATTTTACAGGATTTGGTTGGATAGAGGTTACTAACAATCAGTCACCAATTACTACTTGCACGACTTTCACAGACATCACTTTTATCAAAGTGAAAGCACATTCCGACAACCAATTCAACGATTTAGCAAATTCTCCCGCAAAACAAGGCGTTCACTTCCGCCCATTTACATAAACCCGAAATGCATTTCGGACGCTTTATATAACCTCTTTTTGGGACAATATTGGCCCTGTAGATCGTGACATTAGAAGATAGTGCAAATCGATCACTGAAGCTTATACCTTTGCTGATTTCTTAAAAACAAACTTATACAACCGTTTTTGAACAATTCAGAACCTCCGATATTAATTGGACCTTCACGGAAAAATGACTGAAATTTAATCACACGAATGATGATAATTGAAATCCTAAATCATATCTCATCTTGTGGCGACATCCAATAAAGGCACTGGAAAAAAAAATCGAGATCCTTAGGAGCACTCGGCCTGAAAGCAAAGATAACAAAAATCGACTTTGAGGGCCGTCAGAAAAGTGCTATGATACTTCAGGCCTGACAGATGAGCTGCGCGAAATTTTTAGGAAAAGTGGGTATTCAGCCCATTAAACCTGACAACTCATTCCCTGATTTATACCCAACTGAACCAACGCTTTGTCCAGTATGTCGTTTAGACGCAGATACAAATCAATATTTGGGTTTTTGCCCAGATAAACTCCCTAAATCAACGAGGTCATTATTAACCACAAACAAATTCTTCACGATTTAATCAACGAAAAGATCGAAAATGACACATCTTGCTATTTCCTTATAAAGGAAGAAATGGACCGTTTAGATGTTTTTGCTCCAGTGAGGATCAATTGTAGTCTATCGGATTTTATCCATAGCTAAGAAATTTTCTTCATTAGAATTTATTATTATCTTTTTTATTTCTCTTTTGTGACTTTGATCATTCCGCTAATGCATTTGGCAACGCCACAATGAAGCCTTCAAGAATTGGGACTGCCTTTGAAGTTTGAACATTACAAAACGCAAGAAAAAACGTTATTATAAGCACAAACGCAAAAAAAGGACAACTAATAGACCACAAGCTGGCTCTCTTACAAGCATCACGTCAGACATACACAATTCAATGACCACGGCGCGCACGATTTCGCACTCTTGGCTGCACATACAACCTCATTTTTGCCATTATGGATCATTTATATTGCTTCAGATTATTTACACGCTGAAAATTTATCAGAAGTTTCAGAACCTTCGGATATTTCATGTATTAAACAAATATTAGACCAATCAAAATAAACAAAATCCGACATCACTAGGTCATTAATGAGAAAAAAATAATAACTTTACGCAGTAATATCGCAACTTACTAATCATTGTGCGCAGAGCGTTTCTTCTGTGCAGCAGTTTTCTGGAAAGAAGCAAAGCACCTTGCGCAGCTTTGAACGTGCTTTCGATTGCAACACGAGTTTAGCGAGCGGAGAGAGCCACGAGTTAGTGGATAATAAAGTATTAAAAGTCAATATCGCAGGTTAAGAAAAAAGTTGCGATTTATAGTAAAGTGATATTTATGGATTGGAATTATTGCACATGAAATTTGTACAGGTTTCCCTCCTTATTATAATATAGCTTATGATGAATACTTAGCAATGAAAATTTGTAAGGGGTTGAGATGTTTCTTTAAATTTCTTGTTAACTAGTGATAAATTTTATAGAATGAATCTAAATCTATAATATATAAAAATTTGGCATGACTTTTGACTATTTTTAAAATTTACCTTGATAACCAGTATAAAGCTTAAATAATAAATTTTTGCATTTTATATTTATGTACATATACTATAACATATCAAAATTTTATTGAATTTGAATTACTAGTTGTTCAATATATTCCACTTGATTAATTTTTAGACTGATTAAAATTTTTCGATAATTTTTTTCAAAATTTAAAAAATATGTAATTTACAAAACTTTGATATAGCATTTAATAATATTCTTTTTTTATTTATTTAATATTATAATTGGTAAGCTTCCATATGAACTTAGTTTATTTATTTATATTACATAATGATTGAGATATTCAATTTTTTCTAACCGCAATTTTATACTGTAAAGAATGTTTAACATTTGTATAACGATGTGTATAACGATAGTAACCGTTTAAGATCTTCTTTTAATGGCCCATCTAAATTATTTTTTAATACAAATAATTAAACGAAATTTGATAGGTAACTATAAATTCATCAAGCTAATATATTTGATCATAGATTCAATTTATTTTCTAACCAATGAATATTTCGGAATTATATTAAATAAATTGATTGCATGATCAACTCCTTGTGTCACTGTTCCACGGGAAATCCTACCAACCCTGTGATGGTTTTGTCACATAGTCACGTGATGACCTGTTTACGTTTTTATTATGTTTTGTCTTTTTTAATAGTCTGATCTCTATTTGTCACCGCATTATATATCAACTGTACTACCACGTTTAAAGTAATATTTATATTGTAAAACGAAAAAAAAGTTACTTTAATAGGGACTAATTAGCGTTACTAATTAAAAAAAAAAAAAAAAAAAAAAATTTATAAATAGTTCTTTAAATCCTTTTTCTTTTTTGAAAAAAAAAAAAAATTTCATACGTTCACTTCCATTAAGGTGATCAAAAATGAAAGAAAGAGAAGACAAAGTAAAGACACATTAATTTTTCAAAAGTAGCGGTTATGTCCTTTCTAGACGAAGAAATATAAATGGATATCATAAGTAAATTCTTAAATCCTATACCCAATATGTGTTGGTTTTCTTACCGGCTATTGCAATAATGGGAGCATCACCAAAGGAAAAGTTTGCGGAAAAGTTGGCATGGGTGTCGCAATGCCTTGGTTGTCCATTTGTTGGATTGCTTTTTTCCTGAAATGTAGGAAAAGACGAAGTAAAGCTCTGTATTTACTGGCTTTCGTCAAAATATTTTAGAAGCAGAGGACAACAAAATCAACACCTGCAACAACTTCAACACAGACCTGTAGGAGTTTACGCTATGTCAGTGGATAAAGAACAGAATGAATTTAACAATATAGTGAAATATATTAACCGATGTACGGCAAGAGCATCAGTGCTAGACAGAATGTCATCATAGGTGTCAACATATTACATCTTAGTCGGTGTAATCGCGGCAATATCCAGGACGACAGGGCAGTTTAGTTGTGAAGATTGGCCATTTATACTATTATTATTATCCTGGACGATTCCAGCGGAACTCAGGAGATCAATATCGGGTACCATAGTAGTTAAAGACCTTAATTGTGAGTTTGAGTCGCAAGATATACAACCGGGAAGTGAACGCTACAGAAAACATAAACTTTTTAGTGTTACATTAGTTGCCTTTGTATCAATAGTATATCCCTGGTTGGGGGATAAGAAAACTATCGTGGATCAAACATACTGCGTCGTTGTCACGTGGTTAACGTGAAGATGTGGCTATCCATTACGTGTCACATGTGTGAACCAAACATTAATATAGATCATTCACCTGTAATAACATATCATATTTATTAATAAAAATAATAATTTCATTTTACCAATGAAGCCTTTGTAATTAAATGTAATGCATTTTTTAGTATATATTGAGATTCATTTTTTTTTGGAGAATACCTAGCTCTCAGAGAAACTTTGGTTTTTTAATAAGAGTGGAAATAATGGAAAATTATGGTTCAATATCCCCAGTAGTACCCAAAAATATGACTGTACTAAGATCTCTCATAGTTATATTTACTGCTTCAAGGATTAATTGTTTTTTAATATTTATACTCCTCGGATACTTAGCTCACGAGTTAAAATGGAACGATACTTGGGTTTTCATTCTGAATTTTTTGGCTATGATTCCATTTGCCAAATTATTCGAATTTGCAATCGAGGATATTAGTTCTCAAGTCGATAAGGTATTTATTAAATAAATTTAAAAAAGGCCAAAATTTTTCGAAATTGATTTATAATTTCTTTTTATTTCAGAAATTAGGCTCTTTGTTAAGGGTTATTTTTGGCAACTCAGTAGAATTGATTTTCTTTATGGTAGCGCTTAAAGCTGGAAAATTACAAATTATTCATTCTTTAATACTTGGTTCTATTATATTAAATTTACTATTAGTATCTGGAATGCGTTTTGATACAAAGACGATACGAAAATTTAAAGAGTTGAGTTTTATAGATTTAGCATGTAGTAGTTTAATTATTCCAGTTGCTTTTAACTTTGTTGTTGGAAGTATTGACGATCAATTTTTAAAGTTATCTCATGTGATGGCAACAGTATTATTAATATTTGGAATTCTTTACCATTATTACCAGGTTAGTAAATGACGATGGTTTGTGGTAATAAATTGATAGAAACAACTTATTCCTCTCACAACGTGAATATTAAATTTTCTTTATCTTTTTTTTTAGCTTGGTTCGAAAAAGCTGGTAAGAAGCTTTAATTTTAAATATATAGATGAACTACATCATAGAGAAAAACGACCTCAGTTATCTATTGTTGTATTATTATTTTTATTAGCAGCTTTAATAGTAGTTGCAACTTTTACTGCCGAATATTTAATTGGATCAATTGAAGGATCCGGATTAAGCAAACCCTTTATGAGAATTTTATTACCAATAATTTGTGATGCTGAGGTAATTATCTTAACTATGAATTTGTTGAAATTTTTTTGATATTTACTTATTTCCCTTTTTATATAGCTCGTAACCGCAATTAGCAAGATCTTTAGTACTGCTGGAATTTCTATGGTAAATAATTTTTTTCTACACGAACAGCAAATTTTCCGATTTTGCATTTTACTAACTATAATTATTTATTTTTTTAGAAAACCATAATTTTCGGTACAGCGGTTATCGTATTTGGGTGGCAGTTGAAATCGTATTTCCAACCAATTTATATTTCCTGTTTAATTGCGGGTCATCTTATTCAAAGAAATAAGTTGCAAAAAATCAAAAAGAGAATTTTACATCCTGATTCTCTTCCATATTAAATCCACTCAAAGATATTCATAAAACGAGTAAATCTGGAATTTACTTACCCTCTCTCACAATTAACTTTTCTTTAATGACAATCTTATAATTTTTCTCAAATGAACATTTTTTTTTTAATGAACAATTTCTTATTCTTTTTTTCAAAGTGGCAATTTTTATCGGTTTCTTTAAATAGACAATTTCTTTAATATTTTTATTAAAATGGCAATTTATTTTAAAAACGGCAATTTATTTTAAAAACGGCAATTTATTTTAAAAACGGCAATTTATTTTAAAAAACGGCAATTTATTTTAATTTTTTTTAAAAAAACGAAAACAAAATTCCTTTAATCATTCCCCAAAGTCGACAATTACTTAGATTTTTCCTTGGCAATTCTGATTCATACCTTTTTTCGTAAGGTTTCGATACAATTTCTTACAACATTTTTCAAAAACACCGCAATAAAACTAGAAGATATAATAGATTTTATAGATATTTATTTATTGACTCTCTTAATTTCTTTTTAATTTTTTAAATAAATTTCATATTGATCATTGATCGTGCAGCTCTGCTAACATAATATTACCTAAGTACTTTTTTTCTCGCTTTCTTGACTCTGGTACAAGGAAAAAACAATTAACTGTTTTAGATTAACCAGTAATTATTTTGGACATCAAAAATGTATATACATTTTTAATACCGTAACGATTTAATCAAGTATCAAATGGCTTTTGAACACGATTTTCAAAATTCAATAATGTATATTCTTCCAATAAAACTTTTCTAATTTAAAAATAAGGTACCGTACATAATTACGTTCTTCCTTTCTTATAAAGTATATTTATTGTAACAAAAAATGATCGAATGAAGACATTTATCTCAAGTTGCGCCATATTGTGTTACGTCATTGACGTAAATTCATATATTCATATATCAAATATATTTATTTTTATATATTAAAAAAATAAATTCCATTTTCCTATATTGCGCTTACTACTCTTTTAATTAACAGTACTAATTATATCATTTGGCTCTTCTAATCTATTTGTTTCTAATGGAATAAGTGGAAGATTAGTGGCTATGTTAGCTGATAATTCTGTTTTCTTGTCGTTATAGTAGTACGTAATGAAAAAAATTAAAACTTGTGCAAATAAGCACGTGTTAATTAAAAGTAATTAAAAGGTAATTTACGCATTCTGCGCGCGAAAAAAAAAAATTCAATTTTTTTTTATGAATGACTTTGGATTCGGTTAGAGAAAAATATATATATATATATATTTCATAAATACATCTTATTCAATGTATACCAAGAAGAAATACGGAAATACGTGTGTACCAAGCCTAAAATTATAAAGTATTTCATGTCAAAAGTTAAAAAGTCTAAGGAATTTCACATCAATTCATTTACGAAGTCCCATGGCAAAATGACGGCGCTAAAAAGTTGACGTAATCATAAAGTTCTAAATGTCTGCACCGGTGCAGACTGCACCTAGAATGAAAGGGTATGGTAAAATCTTTATTCTTTATTAATACGTTCTTTGGAAGCAAAAAAAAAGAATAATTCAGCAAATATTACTTAATTATTTAAATATTATAAAATAAATGAGAAATTGACAAAAATATTGTAAATTACTTCATGAACTTAATTATCTTTTGGTTCGATATATTTTGATTTAATGTGGATTTAAACTTTATGCTGAATTTTAAGTATATTTTTACCGATAAATTATTTGATCTTAATATCATAATAATTCTAATTAATCATTTTTAATTTATAACGAAAAAAGTTGCGCGTGATATAATTCTTTTAATAATCGAAGGCATGATTTGATGTTAAACTATAACATTGATGATCGGCATGACGGCATCCTGATCTTGGCTATCCTTTAACTGTAAACAGTATAATTGATAGGCTTTCATACATAATGATCGAGATATTCGATTAAATTAATTATAATAATGTTAGAAAATTATTGTACGAGCATGCAAATTACAATGTTAAGCCGACGCTATCGTTCCATTTATAATTTCTGGCTTATTTAACGTGAGTATTCTTGAAAATATTGCTTTTTCGATAAAATAAACAAGTCTTTTCATTCCAAAGAGCAACAAATAAAATTTATTTAGTCCTAGAAACACTTTTAATCTAAAAATGCAATATCTGATGCCATGTGTAACATCATTCATCTAGTTGATAAGAGAACAATATTAATGCAATCAAGGCATTTTGTGAAACCGAGTTAATATTTAACAAGCAACCAAGTTGTACATGAAAATTTCCTTTTGGGTTTACATCCCTTTTTCAGTCTTATTTTTCACCCAAAAAACAAAAAAAAAAAAAAAAACTTAAAAATAACTTTTTCCATTTCAAACATCAGTAAATATAGTAAATATTATTTTTCTTATTGGCGTCGATAGAAATGACAAAGACGATAATATGTCTTTTGAGATATATAGTAAATGAGCCGAGCCATTAATGTATTATTCAAGGAATAACTTCTACATAACCCATAAAGAGGTCTTGGAATCCTCGTTACCACTTTTTGGTGTCGTTTGAGCACCGTGAGACACTTTGACATTCCGCGCCACATTGTCAGCTGAGCGGGCACGTAGTTACGCAATGTACTGTACCCCTTATGGATCATGTGATTTCTAATCATTTTGTCATTAAAGGACTCGTGTCCATACACCTCTTCAAGCATCCGGGACATGATTATAATTTCCAATTCGAGAGTAGATTATTAATTTTTATGCTTCTCAGTTGGGTATTTAGCTCATAGTTTAAAATGGAATGATACTTGGGCTTCATTCTGATTTATTTTGCTTCAGTACCTTTTGTCAAATTATTCGAATTTGTAGTTGATAATATTAGTTCTCAAGTCGATCAGGTATTTATTATAAAAGAATTAAATTTAAAATTCAAAATTTCTTGGAATTCATTTATTACTTCTTTTTTTTGTAGAAATTGGGTTTTTTGTTAAGGGTTATTCTTGGTAATGCTTTATGGTAGCGCTTAAAGATGGGAGAATACGCCTTATTCGGTCGTTGTTACTTGGTTCTATTATATTAAATTTATTATTAGTGTCCGGAATGCGCTTTAATAATATTAAAAAACAAAAATTTAACGGTTTAAGTTTAACGACCTTGGCATATAATAGTTTAATCATTCCTGCAGCTTTTAATTTTGATGTTGAAAGTATTGATAATCAACTTTTAAGTTTGCCTTATGTAATGGCAACAGTTATATTAATATTTACGATTCTTTATCGTTACTTCCAGGTTAGTAAATTTACTTTTTTTACTTATCATAGTAACTTAAACATCATTAACATTCTATTGTTTTTTTTTCTTTTTAGATTAAACCTAATTTAGATTTATATCATGAGGAAAGACAACATCAACGATTATCTGTTGTCTTATCATTATTTTTTTTTGGTATCATTAGTAGTAGCTGTAGCATTTTCTGCTGAATATTTAGTTAGGTCAATACCATTATCAGTAGAATTTATTACCGATAATTTGTGACGCTGAGGTAATCATCGTAACTTTTTTTGAGGTTGCTGAAATTTTTTTAAAACACTTACGTGATTCCCTTTTTTTGTAGCTTGTAACCGCAATTGGCAAGATCTTAAGGACTACTGGTAGTTTTAGATCTAAAGTAAATAATTATCTATTTTATATACGTTTTTTTTATGTTTTACAAATAACTAACAATAATAATTTCTTAGAAGACCGCAATTTTTATCACAATGCTTATCGCACTTGGGTGGCAAATGAAATTAACGTCTCGTCCACCGATATAAGTTATAAAAAAAGATTTTTGCGTCCTGATTGTCTTCCATATTAACATCCATCAATATGATGTTACATTATGAGAGTTAGATTACGGGAGGAGGGTTGAGTCAATTCTGTGCACTATAGATAGTATATTTTTCTTTAAATAATAATTTGTTTGTATATCTTTTTCATTTTTTTTCATACAAAAGGACATTTTAAATTTAATAAATTTTTTTTTTATTAGTTATTTAAGATTTTATTACACGAATTTTTTTGATATTAATATACAGTACTTTGATTTTTAAAGTAAATTTATTTTTTTAAAAAAAAATATCCGATAGATCGGATTTATTTGTGTGTAAGGATTTTATCAGCATGTTTGTAACCAAAAACCAGTAATGTGGATCTAACAACAAATTACTAGTTGGCGTTAGTACTTTGGTTTGTTTTTTTAATTTTCGTCAAATATTACTTACATTCTAATTAAAATAAATATTTCTTTTCAATATCAATAAAAAAGAAATAGGAATTTCATTAAAATAAAGAATATTGAGTTCGTCAATTGGATTGAATCCATTTGGATTGAAAATTGGGTGCGTTCACGAAATCAATTGGATTGGATCAACTAGATCCATTTGGATTGGATTTTACCAATCCAGTATACGATTGAATATATCGTTCCCAACTACCAGTCTACCATCACATGTTATCCCTTATGTCCCACCTACATAAATTTAAATTTCACTTTACGCGCTTCACGCTGAGAAAACTTTTTATAAAAATGATAATAATACGCAAAGTTCTAAAGATAATAATAATAAAAAAAAAATAAGTGTTATCATTTGAATAATATATTCCATAAGCATAAGTTAAATCGAGAGGAAAAATTAAAAGATCAAAGAACAAACTTACAAATATTGTAATAATAATAATAATCTACCAAATAGTATATAACAGGTATAATAGGTTATTTTATTAATATTACCAATGTCAACATTATTTCCATTCGTATGGATAGAACGATGATAGTACCAAATTTTTACCTTTTAATAGAACAGACAGGAAGAAGTAAAACCAATCAAGTACAAATCGAGTTGGCAGGTGTAGTAATACAGAGGCAAAACTGCACAATATTCTGCTGAACAGTGCGCGATTAAATGGAAAAACATAAAAAAAATTATATATTTAACCTTTTTTATTTTTGTATCCTATTAAAATTATTTTGTTCAGGATGATGTGGATCATAGCAAAAAATCTGGCAATAATCCAATCGAAGTACGATATAATCAGAAGTAGAGGAATTCTTGATGGGTTGATAGGAATCGTCCAAGTTTAACCCCAAAGTTACTTGATAGTAGTTTAGATCTTGAAGCTGGTATAGATAAGATGATGTCTCATTTAATGAAATATCTGATCGAAGATGAATCTACTCAAGAAGAATTACGAAAAGCTAACAGATCTGAAGTTAAGTTAAACATATGTTGGAAGATCTTATCTATCAAAAGAATGGAAGAACAAAGAAAGAGAGAAACTGAAAGAAAAGAAAGAGAAGATCGAAGGCAAACAGGAATTGAGTTTACTAATTTCTGATTTGAATTCTATCAATAGAAATATGATGGTACCTCAAACAATGTTATTAATAGTAACTTATTTTTATAATTACAATAAATATTTTAATATATACTTATATGGTTCCAATTAGTTCGTTTGATACAATTACAAATCATGAATACTATGATCTTCAAAAGCATCAACATAATTATTATTTTTTTGCTGTGTTACAATAATTTTATTGGATGACTATTACATCTTTCAATCTACTTTCAATTCTATTGGCTGGTTAATATTTGTCATCACGTGATACGCGTGAAATCAAACCAATAAACTTTGTTGCTACTCAAACGTCAACACGTCGTTACTATTTTAATAAGTCTTTCTTATTCTTTCAATTCCCACACAAACGATGATTTATCAAAAAGGTTTTCATTACTTTTTTTTTAAATTTTTATTGCCATCTTCAAAAAAGTTTATCCTACATAAATTATAATATAAAGAAATTAATTATGCTGTTTATAAATTATATGTTGAATAATCTCTTTTTGTAATAGGGTTAGTCAAAGTCTTTAGAGCAAGTCCTTCTGATTATAATGTTAAGAATCTCTCTAAAGGTGAATATTTAATTGTTTAAACTTTGTATTGATATTTTATTGCTGTATCTCCATCTAGAAAAGTTAAAAGGTGAAATAACATCAGAGAATAGAGATTCGAATTTGTAATTAATAAAGATATCAACATATGACGAGAGCTGCTAATTGAGTAATAATGGCTTTCTTTTTTTTCATTAGGATTAACTGAACCCACTTCTGGTGAAGACGTAATAAATGAAGCCGTAACACAAGAGCTACCTGGGAGCAGTTCGTGCGAGAGCCCAAAACAAGTGTCTTTTTCGAGTGAAGGTACAACACCTCAATCTAGAAAGATATCAACATATACGAGAGCTGCTAATTGAGTAATAATGACTTTCTTTTTTCATTAGAATCTCCTAGTAAAGACGTAATAAATGAAGCCGTAACACAAGAGCTACCTGGGAGTTCATGTGAGAGCCCAAAACAAGTGTCTTTTTCGAGTGAAGGTACAACACCTCAGTCTAGAAAGATCAACATATGATGAGAGCTGCTAATTGAGTAATAATGATTTATTTTATTAGGATTACCTAAACCTCCTGGTGAAGACGTAATAAATGAAGCCGTAACACAAGAGATACCTAGAAGCAGTTCATGTGAGAGCCCAAAACAAATGTCTTTTTCTAACGAAGGTACCTCAATCTAGAAAGCTACCAAACATATGACGAAAGCTGCTAATTGAGAATAATGATTTATTTTCTTTTTTTGCATTAGGATTGCCTGAATCTTCCGGTGAAGACGTAATACATGAAGATGTAACACAAGAGCTACCGTCTTTTTCGAATGAAGGTAAAACAACGCCTCAATCTAGAAAGATACCATCATATGACGAGAGATGCTAATTGAGTAATAATGATTTATATCTTTTTTTCATTAGGATTACCTAAACCTCCTAGTGAAGACGTAATAAATGAAGACGTAACACCAGAGCTACCGTCTTTTTCGAATCTTGAAGGTACAACAACACCTCAATCTAGAAAGATACCAACAAACGTAATAAATGAAGACGTAACACAAGAGCTACCGTCTTTTTCGAATGAAGGTACAACAACACCTCAATCTAGAAAGATACCAACATACGTAATAAATGAAGACGTAACACAAGAGCTACCGTCTTTTTCGAATGAAGGTACGACAACATCTCAATACCAACATATGAAGAGAG